AAGGGTTAAAGGTGTAACAATGTCGAATGCATGGTTTTGCAGATGATAGACCATTTGGTAATGAAGAGTGGCTACTGAAGAGGTTTCAATTTGTTTAGTTCCAGTTATTTGTAACTGGACTTTGAACGCTGAACTCAGATTGGGATCTTTTATAGGGATATTGAAATTTGGAAAGAAGGTAACAAAGATGGTGCCTGCATTTAAAGTGGTTTGAATGGTGCCTATACAAGCATGTTGGTATTCAAGAAATCTTGTATCTAGCAAAGCAATTCTGGTTACTGCTTCCATCCCTTTTCTGCCATGAAAGGTTAAGGCTAATTTTATCGCTCCAAAATGGATATGGGTATATCCTTCTTTTAACCATAAAGGGAAAAGATGTTTTGGTAGTTTATTGTAACATATTGTTCAGACTGGGTGGCTGGGATATGATGTTGATCAAAAGAAGAGGCTTGGACATACTCTTTTATGGACTCAGGGTTTTTCTTTCCACAAAGTTTCCTAATCCTTTTAGTCCAGTTTAAGCTTGATTTATCATAAACATGATAGGGATTGATCAACTGAGATTGAGTTTCAGAAAATTTTTCAGGAATATAGGTAATTTCAAAAAGATGTTCTTGTTTTGAAAACATAGGTTCAAAGGTAGATGAACGAGGAGTATCTAGACTTACTTCTGAAGAAATATCTCCTGCCATGAGTTCGAAATATCTTGCTTGTTACCTGTAATTTTGGTTTTGGTTTGAAAGGCCAACTTTCTTTTACCCCATGTTAAAGGTATGATCTCCGCTTTTAGGCCATTCCTCAGCCTCTCAGAGTTCCTATTATTAACATGTAACTCAAGAAAGTTTTTAGCAGTGGAATAAAGTCACTGAAATTAACCTTTAAGTTATATTCTGTGTTCTGATACGAGAGATCGTAGTCCAGCTACGCAGACGTAGAGCATACTAATCTGAATATTTCTTACAGATTAACCAGTTAACATAACAAGATAGAGAATTTAATTTTAACATGGCTCTGATACCAATTGAAAGACATTCTCAGAAGACAAATACAGAAACGACATTAAAGCCACAAGGTCATACATACATAGAGTAGAACAAGACACAATGAAACAAGATATTGAAAGACATAAGATAGATATAAACATCAAACGGAAGACATGCTGAAAGCAAGAACCTGGAGGAGGAGAATGCCACTGACTCCTAATCGAGGGGGAGGGTGAGGTCAGGGACAGAAGGTAGAGTGAACTATCCCGAAGATGGGAGATGGGGATATGAGAGAAGGCTAGGATCCTACAAGCCCAATAGGAAACCAGAGAGATAACCGAGTCCAAAAAGGAGGGTAGGGGTTTTGCAAGACCTTGAAAGGTTCTTGCGTTTCTTTTAAGCCAAACCGACAACCAAATGGCCGCAATGGCCACGTTCCAAAGTTTTCTACCATTTTTCGGGAAGGGAGGGGGTAGGTAGGATAGGAAGAGATCCATTACAAACTGAGAGGTAACCCATTGGATCCCAAATAGTTTTAGAAAGGATGACAGCACTGTGAATGAAAAAGGGTAGTGAATGAATAGGTGGGGGATGGACTCCTCATTCTGGTGGCAGAGGATACAGCGGTTAGGCAGGGAGATGCCTCTCTTCTGCAGCTGATCAAGGGTTAGAGCTTTACCTAGGATCAAAATCCACAAAAAGCCCTGGACCTTATGGGGAACAAAGAAGGACCACACTTAATTGAGAACAGGGACAGGATGATCATTAAACTTTTGTTGCTCTAGCATGTTCATCATTTTGATATGGAGTTGTGATACAAAGTACAGATACAAGTAAAGGAGTAATTTGTTACTCAACCAATGTTCAATAGGTTTCTTTTTTCCCATGATCTAGATTCTAGAAAATTGAAAGCTAAGAAAACAAAGATTTACAAGGTAAAATGCGCTCCATTTGCACTCACAACCAAATAAGTTGTGCGTGAGGCTCCACACTCGAATGGCAAGATGTTGGAGATTTAATGTCCCCCTCCCATGTGATGCCTACCAATCAACTGCATATTATTTTGGATTAAGTTTAATACAACTAAACAAGTATAAGAAAGTAAGAGAAAAGAATTTAGTTAACACTGTGTTGGTGAAATTCAAACTCCAAAGGTCAAAGTTCCACTTCTTTTTTGTTACATAGTTGTGCAGCATCCCTGCTCTGAAACGCGATAGCATGTGCATAGCCCCGAGAGCATGCTTGAACTTGATCAATTCACAACTTCAGATCTCATTTTCATAACCTCTTAAAGTACATAAGAGCACTTCATTTATTATGCAATCTGATTCAAGGGAAGGGTGCGAGAGATGGATTCAAAAAGCAAACCACTGCATGGGGGGGCTGGGTATCCTATCTGGTACCTATATTCTCAAGTATGGGATTGTATTTGGTCGCATCATTCTTCAAAGCCATTTTATCTCTTTTGTTGCCCTAATCATGGCCTCATGCATGTAGCCATGGTGGGCAGCACATCTTCATCCACCAATTGAAGCACTTTCACCAAAGGGCTAGAATTATTCAAGGAAAAGTAGACTTGGGACCAAAAGGATGTATTACGAACAATTTTCTCTGCTTTTCTCCCATCATGATGCTTGACCACTTACTTCTAGTCCACTTCTCTGAAGTGAACATACTGCTTAGGACATCTTTGAGCTTGCATAGGATTTGCAGAGCGAGAAATGTCATGGCAAATCTAGTGACTCCTGGTTCTCAATCTCCCACATCTTTGTAAGCTCTCTCATCATGCTTAGGACTAAGGCACGATCGTAGATGAAACCAATGACGAACTTGGCTTTTCTAATTGACCATAGATAGCTTCACTGTGTCCTCAAGAATGAGATCAAGCCCATGTGTTGTGCAAGGAGTCTAAAACACATACCTTCTCTTCAAAGTCAAGAGATGACCAACTGCAGATAATTGGCACTATTGTCACCAACAATTTGTACCGCATTTTCTTCCCTAACAAAGTCTACAATATCATCCATCAACCCACAAAGTTGCATTTATGGACAACCCGAGATGTCCATAAATGACCGAGACTTTCTGTCCATCCATCACACATGATGGTCACTGCATACTTCTCCCACCCTTCTCTTTGAGAACTTGTCTTCACATCTTTCAATGTGTCCTTTAATAAAGGCCTGCTCAGCTCATCAAAAAATGGGGTTTAAGCCCGAGGCCAAAGTGCCCAATTGCCTCAACCATAACCTTGAAGCTAGCAAGGCACAATGTCTCAGTAAACCCACTTGTATAAAGTGTGGTTTGTTCTGTTTTTTTCCTCTTATTGTCTACCACACTTTTGGGGCTAGGGGTACGGAATACATCCAATGGCCCCTTAGGGAGAGGCCCTCTCTACCCAACATTTCCATAAGTCTACATAACATTCTCCCTTATAATCCTATGCTCGGTTACCAGCCAGTCAGTCTGCTTCCAAAACTATAGGTGTCAGTTTATAGATGAGCAAGGCAGAATTATCCAAATATACCCTAGTCTCTCTTCTAATTTCTCTGCTGCTGAAGGGCACGCTTCACATTCCCGATAATTTTAGCAAGATGTTGTTTTTACCCGAAAATACCCCCCAATATGTTTTCTCACATAGCATACAAAAAAACACTATTTAAATCATTTGGATTGTTCAACCTCGAACATTTCCACATCAGATCTTTGTTACTTGATGAGGATGAAGACATTATTTCATAAAAAAAATATATATATATATTGGTAGGACTCTGAACTTACCAAAAAATTGATCCTTGGTTCAAACTTTCAATACCAAACCCAAAATAAAAAGAAATATCAATTTCTAGATTTTAATCTCCTCGGCATTGAATCCCTCAAATTATGAAAGTTCACCCTAAAACCTTCAAAATGATGCCTGAAAAAAAATCAAACGATCGCCCAAATAATCAAGAAAGAAACCCCAATCTTTTTGAATTTAGGAAACACAAAAAAAACTTTATTTTTCAGTTTTAATCCAACCCACATTAATCCCCCCTAGTTCGACTCAGGCAAGTCTGAGGCAGAACAGGGAATTTTTAATAAGTAAAATTATAAATTTGTGAAAATTCATAGGACATAAGCTATTCCCGGGATCCCAAAATCGCTTGGCTCATGATCCGGACTGACCCATGCGATTTTCAAGTCGGCCCGATGATTTTTAAATGCTGATCCAAATTGCATGTGGAGCAATGTTTTTTGTCACAACATGGAAAAAAGACCGACATGAGAATTGATGAGACCAATGGTTCGCAAGGACCATCCAAATCAATTGTCAAACAATGTCACTAACGAGTAACAGGAATTCCCTTAGAGTTCATGTGGCTACTCACATTCTGCCTCCAAAAGATTCGATGTGGGATCCACAAAACCCTATTGGGACTTCCTGCAATATTTTGGAGCCAAGGTGCTTTTAAATATGGGGCTACAGTCTTAAACTATTTTAACATCAGGCTATAAAATTTATCGTACCTTTGCAAATATTTAGATCACAAACACCAGATACAGAAACAGGAAATTAGCTACTTGAGGAACACTATGCAATCTTTTCTAGTGTTATCTTCATCCGCAGTGACTATCATATCTTTGCAAATTCAAACACGCTATTCGTGAACACCACAAACTCTTCGTAGTGTTGTCTAAGGCTATTGGGTTGGATGAAGCCCTACGACCCATGCACACTAAAATCATTCCTCTCATATGAGAATCTAAAAATATCAATAAAATGATCTCCCATGAAATGTTAAAAAACAAAAAACTTCATTATAAACAACAATGTAATTCCAATACGATTGGCAATTTGGCATCATGATAATGGCATTCGATATGGCACAAAATGACTCAAATGAATTTTTTCTTATAATCCAAAATGATTCAAGATATTAATCGCATTTCTCACGTGTAAAGAACATAATCTCAAAGGAATTGCCAGCCATCACAACATAAAGTCTCAATCCTCGGAACAAATAAACAACCATGTAGCACAAATCGAACAGCTCGCATGAACTATATATTAGTCTTGAATATATCACGCTCAAGTTTGAGTACAAAATGAAGCACCTCATAAATATTCAACCACCAATACAGTACAATAACAATAGATATCCCGAAAACGTGAAGTTGTAGGTCTACCTGAATAGCTCAGAATATACCATGCCCTAAAACATTCTTACGTCAAAGGAACAGAACAATGATAGTTCATAGATATACGATAAAAACCAACTCATAGCATGATCTAACTCAACTAATTAACACACATTTCCTAAATCAGCTGCCTTTGCAGTTTCCTGAGCATATATATACAAGAAACACAAACCGTAGTGGCTTCCAATCTCAGTATGAAGTTCTCCCATCTCCTTCTGTGATTATATCTTTGAAAGCTCCACCGCTCGGGATCATAGGCAGCACATGCTCCTGATGAGGCACAACAACATCCAATAAGTAAGGCCCAGGGGTCTCTAACATCTTTGAAATGGCAGCCTTGAGCTCATTAAGCTTTGTTACTCGAGCAGCTGGGATATCACAGGCCTCTGCGAATTTCAACAAATTGGGGAAAATCTCTGATTCCCTTGATGGGTCTCCAAGATAAGTATGAGCCCTGTTCGCCTTATAAAATCGATCTTCCCATTGAACCACCATACCCAAATGCTGGTTATTCAAAACCATCATCTTTACAGGGAGGTTTTCGACCCTTATGGTTGCAAGTTCTTGAACATTCATCATGAAACTACCATCACCATCAATATCGACTACAATCGAATCAGGGTTACCCACCGCTGCTCCAATGGCAGCAGGTAATCCAAAACCCATTGCACCCAAACCACCAGAGGTTAGCCATTGCCTTGGCCTTTGATAATCATAAAATTGAGCAGCCCACATTTGGTGTTGACCCACTCCAGTGCTTATAATGGCCTTTCCCTCCGTTAACTCCTCTAATAATTTAATGGCATATTGGGGTGGAATAGCCTCTCCAAAAGTCTGATAGCTCAGAGGCCACTTCATCTTCTGCTCTTGCAATTCCTCTCTCCAAGCCGAGAAATCGAGCTTGACATTCGTTAAACCACCCTCTCTCTCCATGAATGATTCAGACGCACTCCTTTCTCTCTCCTCCAACAAATGATTCAACCCACGTAAAGCCAGCCTGATATCAGCACAAAGAGAAACATGGGGTTGCTTGTTTTTTCCTATCTCAGCTGGGTCTATATCGACATGAACAATACTCGCCCTACTTGCAAAAGCCTCCAATTTTCCAGTCACTCTATCATCAAATCTAACCCCAAAAGCTAACAAAAGATCAGCTTTATCAACAGCATAATTTGCATAAACAGTACCATGCATTCCTAACATACGCAAGCTGAGATCATCTGAACATGAATAGGATCCCAACCCCATTAAAGTACTAGCAACTGGTATCCCAGTTAGCGCAACAAACCTCCTCAACTCCTCACTAGCATTCAAACAGCCACCCCCAACATAAAGAACAGGCCTTTTCGATCCCAAAATCAAACGCACAATCTGTTCAAGCTGAGAAAGTTCGGGATTTTTTGGCAACCGGTTAATATAACCATGAATTTTCATGGGTTGATACCAATCGGGCACCGCCATTTGTTGCTGAACGTCTTTAGGCACATCGATCAACACAGGGCCAGGTCGACCCGATGAAGCTAAAAAGAAAGCTTCTCTAACAATCCTAGGTATATCATCGACATTAAGAACAAGATAATTGTGCTTTGTTATAGACCTGGTTACCTCGACAATAGGGGTCTCTTGAAAAGCATCAGTTCCGATCATTCTTCGAGGAACCTGACCAGTAATGGCGACTAAAGGAACACTATCAAGCGTTGCATCAGCTAACCCACTAACCAGATTGGTGGCTCCCGGTCCAGAGGTGGCTATACAAACACCCACCTTACCAGTAGATCGAGCATAGCCTTCGGCTGCAAATATCTCACCTTGTTCATGGCGACAAAGGACATTGCTAACGGTTTTGGACCTGGTCAGGGCCTGATGAATCTCGAGAGAGGCACCACCGGGATAGGCGAAAACATGTTTAACATTTTCTCTCTCTAGAGCTTCAACCAGAATGTCAGCTCCCTTTCGAGGCTCTTCGTCAGCGAAGCGAGAGATGAAGCTCGAGGGCAAAGGGGAATGGAGGTTTTTTTGGTGGGTGGTCAGGGTTGCAGGGTCGTTGGGGGAGTCGGAGAGGACGGCTTTTAGAGATAGAGAGGATTTTTTGGGGGTGGAGTAGGCGGAGGAGAAAAAGCGGTGGTGGTAATGAGGTGGAGTGGAGGATTTTCTCTCTCTAAAGAGAAAGGAGGGCTTGGAGAGGGGTAAAGTTGCAGTAGCCGCCATAGTTGAGGAGAAAGCAAGAGGGGTTGGAGAATGAAAGAGAGAGTGGGTTTTGCAGAGGAGTTGCGCTCTCTTTCCCTCTTTCTCGCTCTACATGTGGCCACCACAAGCAGGGAAAAGACCAAAAAAAGGAGAGTGAGAGGCGGCTAACGGGAAGGGGGGCAGAATTTGGAGGGAGTGCCGGGGGGCGCCTAGGGTTTTTCTCTCTCCTCTTTGGCGTTACTTTAATGGCGTCTCTGAATGTATGTTGAGACTTTCTCTCTCTACGTTCTCACTTCGGTCAATGTGCGTCTTCTCTCGTTCTCTCTCCTCTTTGATATCCTCTCTCTATACTGAATGTGTCTTTTTCTACTGAATGTGTCTTTTTCTCTCCATTGTTTCTCTCTCTAACGGTGGTGTCCTTCTCTCTCTTCTGTTTTTCCGTTTTTTTTTCTTTTTGAATATGTATGATTGGTCAGGGATATACGATACGTGGACGCGATTTGATAGAATTGCGATTGCTACGGGCCCCACACGTGTTATTATTAGAAATGTCTTTAGCACGTGTAGATACTGCCTTTTTGGTTAGATCCATTGAGCTCAGTTGTCGTTCGAATTAAAGGACGGTCAGGATAAGGAGATGTTACATAGAGATATCCAAGCCATACAAAACAGTAACAATAAATAAATCATTATTTTTAGGAAAAAGTTTATATCAAGGGTTTAAAAAGCGGATCGGTGACCCGGATCGGGAACCTCAAAAACCGATCCGGATCGGTGAATCGGCTATCCGAATAGGGAATCGGCTTAATCGGTGGGATTAAAGCTTCAAAAAAATCCAAAAAAATTATTAAAATTTATTATAAATGTTGTTTTTTAATAATCTAATAAAAAATGAGGGTACTACATTATTAACTTTCATTTTTTTTTATCAATTTGTGAATATTGAGATGTTCTTGCCCTGTATAAATTTATTTTAACTATTAAATTTGCATCACATAAAAAAAAATCATAGAATTATCATGGATAAAATATATAATTATATATGGACTATTTTAAAGAGTAGACTAATCAATGAAAGAATGGCCATTAAAATCTCGTTTTGGCGAAAAACCCTAACCCGCTAAAAAAACCCAAACTATTACAGCCTAACTAACTATAATCCAAAATTATTACAACCTCATTAATTATAATATTATATACTGAAATTATAATTGTTATTTTATATTTTATAATTATTTTATTAGACAAATAATAACAAATTTAAAATATTTTATAATATTATCTAATTTAAAATATATTATTGACAACTGTAAGAAAAATAGTACATTACATGATTTATAATGTAAAAATTCATAAATAAAATAAAATATTTGGTTATTTATGTAAAAATTAATAAAATGCGCACAAATTTTGGAAATAACACTTCAATTTTTCAAAAATTTATTTTTTTAGGTTTCTATAATAAATTTAGTAAAAGAGATTGTTAGCAGAAAGATGGAGATTTCAAATAGAATAAACTTTTTATTTTATTTTTTTATACCTTTCATATTATTTACAAAAATAATTATACCACTATATACAACAAAAATTAACTGTTTTATAAAAAATTAATTTTTTATTTTTCATTTTTTTATGTCTTTTATATAATTTACAAAAATATTTATATTTATACCAACTACTATATACACAACAAAAATATTTATATTTATACCAACCACTATATATACAACAAAAATGCAACACATGCCCAAGGGGATTCGAATACAACAAAAATATTTATATTTATACCTACCACTATATATATAACAAAAATGCAACACATGCCTAAGGGGATTTGAATGCAACACATGCCCAAGGGGATACCCAAGAGGATTCGACCTTGGGACCTCAAGTAAAAAAATCAAAATCGTAACCATCAAGCCATCTAACTACATATAATTATAAATTGCTGATTAATAGACTATATGTACATTTCGTTTTCATTTAATGATGTTTGGAAATTATCCCACATTGAAATACGGGTATTCAACTTTGGTATATAAATACCTATACAATATGAATTATAAATGTGTGTAAAAATATTAGGGCAACCTCACACGTGGGTTTGGATAAACGTGTGCATGCGTGAGTGTACGTGGGGCACGCTCTCACGTGCGCTTGGACACACGTGTGCACGCATGAGTGTGTGGGGCACAGTCGCACGTGCGCTTGGACACATGTGTGCACGTGTGAGTGCGTGGGGCACCCTCATACGTGCGCTCGAACACACGTGTGCACGTGTGAGTGTGCGTGGGCACGCTCGCACATGTGCGAGCGTGCCCATGTACACACGTGGGCACATGTGAGTGTACGTGGGCACGCTCGCACATGTGCTCGAACACACGTGTGGGCATGTGAGTGTGCGTGGGGTACGCTCGCACGTGCGTGTCATGCGTTACGTGTGTGAACCGGGCTGAACCAGATAGAACCGGATGGGAACCGGCAGTTCCACTCTAGAACCGGGCGGTTCCCGGTTTTTGGTTGGAACCGGCACGGGCGCGTGTGTTTTTGAGTCCAACCGGGCGAGTCCGGTTCGACTCACCATTTTTTAAAACACTAGTTTATATAGAGCGGAAGGCTTGAACGATCAAATTAAAACCCAGCTCAAAAGGCGGTTCCACTCTAGAACCAGGCGGTTCCCGGTTTTTTGTTGGAACCGGCATGGGCGCGCGTGTTTTCGAGTCAAACCGAGCGAGTCCGGTTCGACTCGTCGTTTTTTAAAACACTGGTTTATATAGAGCCGAAGGCTTGAACGATCAAATTAAAACCCCGCTCAAAAATTTCACAAAAAGAGTTTGTTTTGATCCCCAAATATCTTCAAATTGATCATCTCCACGTCAAGATGTATGGATATGAGAAAAAAATAGATTTCAAGTTTTAGAAATAGTGCATCTTGTAACATATTTTTTTACCGTCAATTTTTCAAGTTTTCATAGATTTGCTCTATCTACATTATTTTTTAAGCTTTAAATTTTATAATTAAAGATGAAGATATATTTAGACTATCACAAATATTTCTAGTATTAAAACCATATTTTTTTATACTATTTGAAGGTGTGATTTGCTTTGATTGTTTAGAGCCTCGACTCTATACAAACCACACCCTTATTTTAACCCGAGTGAAACGATTAATAAATAGATTGAGACATTTTTTTTTGTTTTTTAAGAATGAATAGATGGGAAACTTTTCTTAGTTTGGAGCTTCTATATTGGCTTTTACATATGATTGTGAAAGGCGATTATGATCACTTTGTACCAGAGTTCAGAATGAAAAATAAAAATAAAAAATATTCTTCCTCGACTAATAGTAAATGTTTTTATAGCTTTGTCTACATGGAAGATAGACATACATCAAGTTCCTCTTGTTTATAAACGTTAGCTATTTATATATCAAACCGTGGCAATTTTTAATTAAGATCACTTATGCAGATGGAAATCGGTCTGAACCAAATTAGTTGTGGGATGATATTGGTCCCTCCCTAAACTCACCCCACCCCCCTTCTCATTTTTTTTCCTTTTTGTTTAAACTTGTCTAATGTATTTTTTCGTCCCCTTATATTTTTTGCCTCAAAATCCATGTTTCAATTTTTATTTATTTGTATTATATTTTTAGGTCACTGAATCATATTGATTCAGACCCAATCTAAATTGTTAGTTCAATAATTTAATCCTTCCCACCGATCCAAGTTCTAAAACACATATCATAATCATTCTTATTAAATTACTAAAAGTTTGATCTAAAAAAATTGATATGTTATCTTTACGCTTGCTCGTTTGAACTATTAAGGTGCTTACATTTACTATTATTTGTTTGTGACGCCCTCCAATAAAAGAATATTCTTCGACTCCCCTAACTTTTTAGAACCCTTGTCACATACCATTGTGATGTGTAACGCACAAGAGACGTTACATGTTAAAAAACTTAAAAACGCTCTGATTTGATACATTCGAATGACTTAGAGTGTCAAAAAAAAGTTTTGGGAATTAATTTGTGTAAAAAAATTCCCATGCCTAGTCATATTAGGGAGTTTTTTTTTTCGTGTATTTTTATGTACATCAAATATGTTTAAAATTTAGAAAGAATTATGTAAATATCTGTTTTAGTTTATGTTATTACCAAAATACTGAATACTTTCAGTTATTACTAATATATCTGTTATTTGGACTTCATAACAATTTTAAAAAAAAGATGAAGCTACCCATTTTCAAATTTTCTTAAAAATCAAAATCAGGTCAATTTCGAAAGTTTTAAATTTTTGGTTTTTCAAAAACAAAAAATTTAACTCTCTCTTGTAGGTCCTTTGCGTATTCTCTCTCTCGTTCATTACCTCTTTTTCTCTCTCCTTCATTTGACATGTGTCTCATTTATGACCTTCATTTTTTCCACGCCTTAATATTCCAGAATATGGACGGAGGGAGAAAATTGTAGAAGGTCCTTCTGCATAGCCAAGACCTTCTTGCTCTTGTTGAGTGTGGTATTAACAGCTTAAAATCTCCTTCCTTGTTGTTGGGTTGGGGTTTTTTCCAACTGCCTTTGCTACCAAATTATCTCTTCCCTTCTTACTTCTCTCTCTACAAAACCCATCTCTCCCAAACCTCAAATTGCTTGAAAATCCCACATATTTTCTATAACCCAATATCAAACCTCAAATTGCTTGAAAATCCCACATACTTTCTATAACCCAAGATCTCAAAAGGAACCTAGCCCTATAACTCCCACTAATGATGTTATTATCGATCTTTTTGAAAATAGAGAAACCACCCTTAGTGATGCCACTGAGCTAAAAAAATGTAGAAATCAAAGATCTTTGCAGATAGTGATTGCACATTAGTTGGGTTTTATATACCAAATTCTCGAATATTAATGAAAGAAAGACCTATGTGATCTTTTATCGAGGAATTTTTTTTTTTTCACCTCTTTCTTTTGGCAAAAGATTACTTACAGGTGGTCTTTATTATAATAAAATAAATTTTAAAATAAAATCAACATAACAATAAAACTAAGATCTTAACAACTTGATACCATTAAAACAACTATGCATTATGCTTGAGAATAAAATATAAGATTGCAAGAAACAAAAAAGAAGAGTGCCGAAGATTACCTTAACCGGGCTTATTATACCTCACACGGAGCCACTACCATCCGATAGCGCGAGATTAACGGTTTAGCTTCAATCTCGAACCGGGAAAGCAAATTTCAATCAAGCCACACCAATTGAACATGAATCCCTTTGATCACAAACTCAAACCCTAGGTGAATTCTCTTAACAACCTAGTTTGAGATAGATGGATTCTCTTT